AGAACAAGCTGAAAAGCCCGAAAACGCCCGCATGCTCAGACGGGGCCCAAGTGGCTTCTGCGCGGAATTGGCAAGCGCCTGCCCCAGACTCTTCTGCGGAGTAGCACGAAGCCTGTTAAGCTATGTGTATCGAATATGTGGCTCTGACTGTGACTATGTCACCCATTTATAGTCCCCATATTATCCACAGATGTAGGCAGGTATAAATAAATAAATACATAGATAAATAAATAAATATATATATATATATATGTATAGAGAGAGAGGTGTAAATATGTACACTGTATGTTATATATATATACATATGTATGTACATATGTATGTCTGTGTGTGTATGTATGTATGTACGTATGTCCTCACATAGGCGGCTATCCGGCAAACTGTTCTTCCAATAATTAGGACCCTTAGATCTTACTACTTGGTAGGTAGCCGCAGGGCCTAGAAGGGTAGAGAGCGAAGGCTTTGGTTTTGGGTCTTAGGGGTTTAGGCTATGAAGATTTGAACAGAGCATCCCGTGAAAAACACAGCTTTTCTCAACTCTTGGAGACCCAGCTCAGGAACTGTTGCCCCAAGCTCCCCACAGGGAGACCGCTTTCGCTTTTTTACTCTTATCCTAAACCCCTGAACCCCAAAACGCTTGAATCCCAAAACCCTCGAAAGCCTCAGCCCCGTACCCTTAGACCCTGAAGCCTAAACACTAAACCCTAAAGCCTAAGCCCTAAACCCCATCAACTAATGCCGGAGATTCACAGCCTAAACTGTACTAAAGCCTTGAGGGCATTCTAAATGAGGCCCTTACATAAGAAGCCACGGTTCAGGGCGAAGGCTCCTTGAATCAAGAAACAGCTTAAACTTAGGGCTCTAGGACCCGAAACCCTAAACAAAATCCCTAAGCCCCCCTTCAATCAAGAAACAGCTTAAACGTACGGCTTTAGGACCCTAAACCCCAAATCCTAGACCCCAAACTCATCCAGGAAGTGCCTCGCTGACTTTCTGGATGTGGCTTTGTTTCACTGTGTGTGTCTGTCAAGAGAGACTAGGAACTCGTTCCTCGCCACCACACATTAAATAAAAAACCCTAGCCCCAAACCCTACCTTAACCCGGAATAGCCTGCCTTTGTAAGGATCTATATAAGGAAATCATAATAAGGAGCCCTAAAAAGGTAGGTTATTCAGGGTTAGGGTTTAGGGCCTAGGCCCCTTAACTCAAGAGGCAGCTTAAACTTAGGGCTTTAGGACCCTAGACTTTCTAAACCCTAAACCCTAAGCAAACCTTGAGGAACTGGGTGGCGGTGGCCGCCCCCATTGCGAGCACCATCTTCCTCACAGACCGGCGCGGACCCCAGCCCAACGTCCTCGAAGATGGGGGGCGCTTAATAGGGTTTAGGCTTTAGGGGTTCAGGGTTTAGGGCTTAGGTTTCAGGGGTTTAGGGTTTAGGGGTTTGGGTTTAGGGTTTAGGTTTTAGGGGTTTAGGGGTTTAGGGTTTAGGGTTCAGGGGTTTAGGGTTTCCGGTATAGGGGTTCCGGCCTTAACTTGGTCATAGTTGAGTAACATTTTCGATTGTACGGGTACTTAAACCCAAGAAGGGGGTCACATATTTTTCATATTTAATACAATCCCAACCATGGAGAAGTTAATGCTTGTAGTAGGGTTTAGGGAGTGGGTTTCCGGAGACCTGCTTGTCACATCTGTTCTTGCAGTGGAAGTGCCTTCATGAGCTCAGAAGCCTTCACCTGTTGCGCTGGCATAGGACCAAGCCAGTACATTGCCAGTTATTTTTTGGCTTCCAAAATACCGTAGTACAGCAGTTATGGGGTTTTTAGGGTTTAGTCAGGCTGCTAAGGTGTGGGGTTTCTGGCATTGAGGGTTTCGGGTTACATGTTTAGGATCTTTGACCTTGTTATGTTGTCAAGAACCAGAAAGCCAAAGCTTGCGCGCGGGATATCCCTAAAAGCGGTGGTTCTCTCAAGAGGCTGTTCTGATATGGGATGTCCTAACATCACGTTTTCGTTTAAGTTTCGATCGTGGGCCCTTTTACTATAATAAGCGAGCGTATAGTATCTATAGTAATAGTATGGGCAATTAATTGCATCAAGGGGCCCGAATAATAGGTGGCCCCAAATAGTAGGACCTTACCAGAAGGACCCCTTTGCAAGGTACCCCCTCACCCTAAACCCCAAACCTTAGCCACTCAACCCTCAACCCTAAACCCGTCAAACCCAAAACCCTAAACGAGGTTTCCCCCCCCCCCCACCGGTTGTCATCGACGCACGCCCAAAAGCGAGAGTCCGAGGTGATACAAGCATCCCCAGCCTTATGCCAGACCTTCATCGAGTTCAGAAGGGTTGAGGGGTTTAGAGTTTTAGGTTTGAGGGTTTAGGGTTTAGGGTTGAGGGCTTAGGGTTGAGGGTTTAATTCGGGTCTCATCGATGCTGTCTGCTGGGCCAAAGGGGTGGAAGGCATCTAGTGCCCGGGCTGGGGTTCAGGGTAGCAAACTAAATGTGAAAGTCGAACAAGCTAAGGACATAAACACGTTGAGACAGCTTCAGGACCTCCGAATCACTGTAAAACCATTCGCAAATCTCACAATATTCCTTTAGCCGCCATTCTTCAACACCCCAAGCTCCTAACCAAAAAGCTGCCTCAACTCCCAAGCCCCTAACGATGGTAACACCTGCACCCCTAAACCCCTAAACCCTAACTATGCTGCCCCAAACGCTGAACTAAGTCTCTACCTGCAAATCCTAAACCCCAAACCCCAAAAGTTGGACACCCAATAGCCTCGATCCTTAAGATGGATATTTATGGAATCCCAGCACTATTTGGCCTTAATCCGGTTTCCAACTTTATGGGGTACCTTTTTAAGGACTTATATAAGGAACTCATAATAGGGAACCCTAGAAAGGTAGGTTCTTTAGGGTCACGGCAAACCCTAAACCCCGAACCCCTAACCCCTAAAAGACCCTAAACCCTAAACCCTAAACCCGAACCCCTAACCCCTAAAAGACGACGCCGACAGGTTCAAGGCCTGGTTCGACAACTGAGTTCGGCGACGCTGCGTTTCGGGCGCCCCCCCTTTTGGGGGGGCAAAGCCCTAATCTCTGATTCTCCAGGTAAAGGTAGGGTTTAGGTGTTTCCCTGAAGGGTTCAGGGTTTAGGGTTTAGGGTTTAGGGTACCATGAGGGTGTAGGTGTGTAGGGTTTAGGTGTTTCCCTGAAGGGTGCCATAAGCCATTACCATGAGGGTGTGGGTGTGTAGGGTGGAGGTGTTTCCTTTTTTCCTAATTTCCTTAAAGGGTTACCACGAGAGGTCCCCGCAAAACTAGATTAGTTACTTGAGGGCTGCCTTAAGGCTCAGGGTTTGGACTCAGTGCTCATCTGCCTCTGAAGAATCTTAGCATGTTGTGGTGCCCCGCAAAACTTATTGCCAGAGAAAATGCTTGTAATGCTGGAACCCTTGTTTCCAGAATTAGCCCTGACCTGTAGATAGGGGTCCTAGAAATATTGGTAAGCGTACATTTTGGTTGTGATTATGGGGTGATGAAAATGGTAGGCTTAGCTGGATCTCTGGTTGCAAAGACCTTTCGAAGCGACTCGGTCATTTCCGCAACCCCATACACCCAACCCAAACCCAGATCTTAGGCCAGACCTCGACCGCTTGAACTCTCCGTTCTAAGCCCTCTTCATCCTAACCGCTTAGGGTTCAGGGGTGACGGTGGTAAGTCAAAGCCTTCACGGCATAAGGTTTAGATGCACATCTCGAGTTTTCTTGGTCTTACCTCTCGCTCATAGCCCTGGGGGCTATCCGATTTTGTGCTCTCGGTCCTTCCTGGGCCAGACTGTCGGTGACGGCACGTGACACATGTTGAGGCACTTGTCGTGAATAATTGCCATCGCAGCACCGGTGACCTCCGGAAGGATCCGCGGAGCCCTGAACCCTGAACGCATACAGCATCATGGAGTTATGAGACTTATATGCTCTCTGCACATGTGTCGCACGTTTTCCCCGAGACTTGCCGTCAGGGCAGTTTCAATAGCGAGCAGCTCAGTTGCTCGCTCAATCATCTTGTGAAAGATGCAATCTGGCGCGCTGCTCGTGAGCAGATGCTGACCAAAGAGGCGTTTAGGGTTGATAATGTAGGGGCCTTAATTAATATTTAACTATATTATACTATATAACTATAACAAGGAATCCCCAAAGCCTTATTCTAATTATTGAGGCCCCTACACTGGGTTTAGATTGAAGCTAGATCTTCGGGCCAACTTTTGGTTATTCGGAGTTCGCCTCTAAGGATTTTGCTTTGAGGATGTTGTTTTAGGAGTCTGACTGACTGACAAGATTCTTCCGCAGGATCCTCTAGTGACATCCAGTTATAGTACTACGTAGCAGCTCCAAAGCGCTATAACACTACGTATCTAGACAATCACACGTCAAGTTGAGCCTTGTAAATGCATATGCATGTATCAATCAATCAATCTATCTAGGGAGGTCAGTCAGTAGGTCGGTAGGTCGGTGGGTAAGTCGGTGGGTAGGTAGATTTCTGTTTAAAGCAAAGAAGCCCAGGGTCGAATCTTGCTGCCTTTTGGTCCACAGTGTTACAACATTTTGGGGGGTGCGTGGTCCGAAGGCCTTCTTGGGGTTCAGGGTTTGGTGACTACCAGGACCCCCGAAGTACCCTTTAATAGAGCCCTTATGGTCCTTAATAGTGGGTATTTAGGGTATACTAGAGGGTAGTTGGGGGGTCTAGGTAGGGCCTTGGGCCCAGGGGAAGAAGGAGAGGTTTTGGGACTCCGGCAGATTGGATTTCGGTTCGAGGACAGCGCAGAAGAGTTTAGGGCTGGCCACGTTATCTTCAAGGTGTAGGCATGTCACAACACCTTCCAATATGATGTTACAATGCAGCATCATATCCTGTAATGAGGGGCGCAAGAAGAAGATTGCGCACCATGTCGACTCAGAAATCGTCCGCTACTGATGCATTGATGGGGAGCGTTGCACCATGGGAGATTCATTGCAGCCGCCTACCAAGGCCGGCCGCGGAAGTGGATCAGGAATTAAGCATGTAGTTTTGGTTTGGCCCTAAACCCTAAACCCTAAACCCTAAACCCTTACACCCTAAACCCTAACACCCTAACACCCTAAACCCTAACACCCTAACACCCTAAACCCTAACACCCTAACACCCTAAACCCTAACACCCTAACACCCTAAACCCTAAACCCTAACACCCTAACACCCTAAACCCTAAACCCTAAACCCTTAGGTTTCTGTTTGGCTTTTTGGAGCCCCCGTGCCCTGCTGCCGCCACCTTGAACTCGATCCGTACTGCTTTTGTAATAAGGAGCCCTCAAAACAGTATAGGTAATTATTAACCCCAAGGCTCAAAATGGCCCAAAAGCCTTGTATAATATGGTCTTTAGGCCCGAAAGCCTGAAAGTATGAGCCCTTAGAGCCTTAGGGTAAGGCTTGCACAGAAGCTGCCCCCACCCTGTAATAGTGACTATAAGGATTATATTATAGGGCCCTATTATATTCCTATTATACCACTATTACAGGGTGGGGGCCCCTTCTAAAGTCAACCCCAAAGCTTTGGAGAGGCAGACACGCCTTCCATGGCGTGCGAAGCCGCCGACGCTGGCAGGCGGAGGGTCCGGCCCTCTTGGGTTTAGGGGTTTCTGGTTTAGGGTTTAGGGTTTAGGGTTTCGGTTTAGGGTTTCGATTTCGGGTTTGGGATTTAGGGTTTCGGAGTAGGTTTTTAGCATATTTGGGCCCAAAAAAGGACATCAGCATACGCCTTTCTTTCACAGAGATATGACGATCATATTGGGCTTGATTTATAGGGCACAGGGGACAGATTGAATCTTTCTTTTCCAATGCGAAATCTCCTTAAAGCTGCTGAGGGCTTAGGGCGAAGCCCCTCTGAACGTTGGGGTTCGTACATTTCTCTCCTTGGGTACTGGGTAGGAAGGCTTTTGCAGCTTGGGACATTCGTGCTTCGAATGCGGCACAGTGAGTCCTGCGATGCTATATATATATATATATATATATATAGGTGGAGGGTTTAGGGCCTTAAGCCCTAAAACCCATCAACCCAGAACCTTAAGTTTGGGCTTCTGAGCTCTCAGCCGATCGGCTAAGGCGCAAGAGATTGCCACCCTCAAGGTCTCTGAAGTCCTGTAAGCCAACCCTAAATCCATTTGGGGCTTAGCGGCTTTGGGGTTCAGGGTTTTGGGTTTGTGACTTGATTGCGGCAGTTGGACATGCACGTGTGTCGCTTGCTGGCATTTCGAAGCGGGGACAAGTGGCATTCTCAAGTGTTTGTAGCACTTGGGGCCTCTGGAGGGCTCGCCAGTGCCGGTGGTGGAAGAAGATCCGGCAGTGAGTCCGGAGGGAGAAGCACCTTCGGTGCCTCCGCTGCCGACTCCGGATTATTCGCCGCCTTATGCGACTCCGTCGCCAGCTGTGACTACAGACGAGGCTCCTACTCGGGTTTCGACTATAGCTGTGGCGGCTCCGACTCCAGCTCCAGTTTTTGTTGCCCCGGGCAACAATCCTTCTCCTACGGAGGAAGCCGAGGACTGGGGCCCTGGATGGCCTGGGGAGGCGCCTCCCAAAAGGCACCGTGGAGATGTGCCTCTTCAGGCATTAATCAGTTTCACTCCCACTCCTTCTGACTCACTCCCACGCACTTCCCGTTCACGCCATTCACTCACCTCATCCACCCTCATTGAAGGAAAACCCAAATGGTGTCTGTAATTGTCTGCTTCGAATCAGACTTGGCCAAGTACTCCTGCACACAGGTGACTTCCAGAGACGCGGTCTGTCCCTTTCCGTTCATGCTTAGGGGCGCTCGAACAAGCCCGGCAACCTGAACAGCAGCTGCAAAAAAATAATCTATCCTCAAAGCCGCACCTCGGACACCTTCTAGTTGACTAGGCCGTCGTGTGTATAAGGGTGATTCTCACAATGCTTTTTATTTTTGGGGGGGTCCTTCTTGTGAGGATTCCGCTGTCTTTGGGCTTGCAAAAAATTTGGATAATTATCCACTAGAAGGGGCCCCCACCCTGTAATAGTGGTAAAATAGGAATATAATAGGGCCCTAATATAATCCTTATAGTCACTATTACAGGGTGGGGGCAGCTTCTAAACTATCCACATGCATGCAGGTCTTCTGCGGCGTCCTCCGCATCGCTGGTCGCCCCGGCCTCGACTTCAGACCAGGACCTCCTACCAAAACCCTAACAGGCAGTCTAAACCCTAACCCTCAAACCATAAACTCTTTACCCGAAACTGAAGCCGAAGTGGGAACCCTAAGCCCTATAGAACCCTAACCTAAACCCTAAACCCTAAACCCCAAGCCCTACACCCTATAGAGCCTAAATCCCAGCATGGGTGCGACAGTGTGAGCCCTCCGAGACCCTCCACTGTTGGTGCTGCGCAGGGTTTCATCAGGCTTTCTCAAAGGCTCCATGTACCCTTGCCGTTCTTCTGGTTGGCTCTTAGGACTTTAACTTTTTGTGTTTCTATATGTACCATAATAAGGAGGCTAAAATTTTAACTTTTAGGAAGGGTTCAGAGGTTTATAGTAGATACTTAAGCCTTAAAGGGGTCCCTAAATAGGTACTTTAAGGCCTAAGTATATACTATATGAGTACATGGAGCCTTAGGGTTTGGGTGCTGACAACATCATCAGGCTTTGGGCGTGTAATATAGGGGCCTGAATAATTACCTATGTTATTTTGGTGGTTCCTTTTTGCAGTTATAATATACATAATGGGCCCCAAAATCCTATTCAAATTATTAAGGCATCTATATGATGGGCTGGAAACCAATGACACTCCTTCAGGTTTATATCCGTTCGAAGTTGCACTAACATTTAACTCTATCTTCAGGGTATAACTTACAGTTGTATATAAGGTTTCAGACTCATCATTGCAACCAGGACGGCCTGCAGCAGAGTACAGAACCAAAAAGCACAACCAACCTGAAGACGAAGGTTAAAGGAGTTTCGAGGCTTTTTATTCGGGCTTGGTGTATCATCTGGAAGCTCTTAAGACTGATTTGTCACTCCCTTGTCGGGGCGACGTAGACTTTGAGTTCAAGGTTAGTTGGTTTAGGTTTTAAGATATAGGCATATGTATGCACGCAAGACCTGGAGCCGTAAAAACCGTATGACCTCGTTAATACTCCTGGTGGATGCTAATCTGACTGTAGTACAAGGTGGTTGGTACCCTGCACCTTGAACCCTGAAGCCCACACCCCGAGCCATGGATCTGACATGTCGGACCATCACCGAAACCCAGAATCCCAATTTACCCATAAACCCAACCCCAAACATCCAAACCCGAAACTTGCACCACCCTACACCGCCAAACCCCAAAGCCTTAATATGATTACCTATACTCCTACACTATTTTGGGGGTTCCTTAAATCATGATTATAATAATGGAACCCTATTCAAATAAAAAAGGCCCCTACATTAATAACACCCCATGTAAATCCTGCACCCTAAACCCTAAAGCCCTAAAGCCTAAAGCCCTAAACCCCTAAAGCCCTAAACCCCTAAAGCCCTAAACCCTAAACCCCTAAAGCCTAAGATCAGGCCGAGGCCAAGATCGAGAGCACGGCGTGGCACCCAGTTCCGCGTACGCCGGGGCTCCGATGGCCCGAAGTTTCTGGGTCCCAAAAGCCCAAAGAAGGCCCGAGGAAGCCCGAACGGCCCCTAGTGTAGGGTTCAGGGTTAAGGGCAAGTTCAGGCATTTCGGGGTTTAGTTTAGGGTTTATAGGGCTTAGGGTTTAGGGATTTCGGGGTTTAGTTTGGGGGTGTAGCCCCAAAATCAACAGCCCAAAGAAGGCCGCGAAGGCGCTACCTAGTGTACCAGGACCACCCAAGTGCCCTTGAATGACGCCCTTATGGTCCTTAAAAGTGGGCACGTGGGCCTTATTACCTGGTGGTTGGGGGGCTCCACGTAGGGCTTAGGGTTTGGTGATGGCGGGGTTTTGGGGTTAGGGGTTGGCTGGGTTTGCGGCGCTTTGCGGTTTTTTTTTGGGTTTCTGGGCCGCCAAAAACCCTAAACCGTAAACCCTATGCCCTAAACCTTAAACCGATCCAAAGAAAGTACTAAGGCGCCCGAAGCCCGAGGGCCCTGAAGCCGTCAAGCCTGAAAGCTCTCGCGGCATGACAAACCTGGGCTTCCGGGTCAGTTTATTTACCTTTTGGTTAGTAGGGAATGGAGGAATGGGGTACAATTATAACTATACTATTACTATCATTCTTCCATTCCCTACTAACCAAAGGTAAGTTTAGACTCCAGGGGTTTAAGATGTAGGACCGGTTTAGTGTTTAGGATTTAATACATATGTGGCTGGGGTGTCTGGGGCACCAGCAAATGTAAAGCCGTACTCCCGGAACCTTTGGTTTGAGAATCTGCCCCCTCACGATGTTCTTTCCGAAGAAGTTCGAGCGGGAAAAGCAACCCAAACCCTGAACCCACAACCCTAAAACGCTAAAGTTGTTGCGTTTGTGTATGTCGTGAGAGGAAGTGCAATGAAGCGCATGACACGAGCTGGAGCACATCGAGTCGCGCAGTTCACTGTACTACGTCAAACCCAACATCCCGGGGTACCCCAAGTGGGTGTATAAGGGGTGCGTTCGAGACCTTCTGGGTCATGATTCACCCCGCCCGACTGAAGCAGGATCGGAGCTGGCCGGCACTCCGCAGGAGGCGGTTAATTCGCCTGGGCTCGCCGATCCTCCGTCGGGACTTCACGATTCTTAAAGTTTTCGTGAAGTCGGACGGCTGCGCAACCGCTTCAGTGTCGAGTGCGCGTCGCTTCACATGATGACAGCCGTGTGTTGGCTTTGTCATAGTTAGGTAACACTTAACATGGTCATACCCGAATAGAAGTTTAATTAGGGTCTTTTTAATACTTGCTGGACGTTCGAAGCGATGAACTTAATCTTGAACCTAGGGATGCTGTGTGTTCAAGTTCAAGCCCCATAAGCCAAAAGACCCCAATCCCGAACCCCAAAACCCTTCAGCCCCACAACCCTCGATCCCTAAAGCTATCCTAAAAACCAAAATCTCAGATTTAAGCTTTAGGCTGAATGCTCAGCCGAAAACTACGACGCCCTGAATCATAAACCCTCTAGCCGCAGAAGCTCTAAATGGTAAGCCCGACGGCCTTAGGGTTTAGGGTTCAAGTTTTGTGGATTAGTTCGGGATTCAGGGTTTATGGATTAATTAGGGTTCAGGGTTTATGGATTAATTAGGGTTCAGGGTTTATGGATTAATTAGGGTTCAGGGTTTAGGGTTTCGACATTTCATCATATTAGGTCCATGTCGAACCCCGAACCAGTAGACCCTCTGCCAAGCACAATTCCCCAGGAACAAAAACACTCGGTTCAAAGCCTTACATGGGTTTGCACCGGTGTAGGGACGTTAATAATCAAAGTAAGGTGCTGCGGTCCGTCATATTACAAGTGCAGGGACAAAAAGGGCACAGGGACTGGTAGGGGGTACCGTTGTTAAGTATCCCGACCTCTACACAGCTGTCCTTGCCAGGTCAATTCACTTTCCGTTCGCTGGGTCCTGCGGCTCCAGGCCGCCCCAGAGACGCACCATGAGGCGCCTACTATGCAAGCCTGAAAAATTACTAATATGATTCCGTAGCGTTCCTTTGTATGCTTTCACTGTACTTCACCCCAGTGCCCGATTCTAACTATTTAGGCCCCTGTAGTATGTGTGTGTAAGCAGGTTCCTTTTGGGGGATGGGTGTTGCGCCATTACTCGCGTCGAAAGGTTTCGGGCTCTAGGGTTTTTAGGGTTTTGGATCTCGCATTAAACACCAGAACCCCGTCCGTACCCCCTGTCTGAGGGCTCTGACACGTCAGTGTCCTGTGAGATGGGCATCAGAGATACCAAAGCTCAGTATCCCAGTTTAACTCAGCATGTTCACCTCTAAACCCGAAACCCTAACCTCAAGCCCTGAGCCCCCAACCCTGGACCTTAAGCAATAAACCCTGAATTTATACGGCAAACCCTAAACCATGACCCTTCGGACCTAATATGAGGGCCGCAATAATTACCAATACTATTTTGGGGGTTCCCTATTATAAATACAGTATAATGGGCAACAAAACCCTATACTTCACACCCTATATCATATGAATACACAGTGACTGCATTCTGGCTATAGTATGTTTACCATGGTGATCATACGGTTATAATTGCCGGTACGTTGATTGAATACATGCAGAAAGAAGCAGTTCTATGTTCCACAACGAGCGACTCAGAGGCAGCCTTACTGCGAGCATGCTTCAAAGGGGATCAGAGCTTGGGGTTTTAGGGTTTAGGGTTTAGGGTTTGGGGTTAGGGTCCAGCAGGGTTCACGCGTGTAGGCTTTAGGGTTTGGGAGGGTGTAACTTTAGGGATTGATTTCAAAGGGTTTCGGGTTGTTGTGACTGGAGCTGTTTGTCTAGAAACCAGTTAATAAAAGCTATCATGAACCCTCGTGAAATAAACCAGCATATGGCACCCAAATTTAACAATCCGAATCCCATGAAGCTTAAACCTCAGACCCCTAAACCCCTAAACCCTAAACCCTAAACCCCTAAACCCTAAACCCTAAACCCCTAAACCTTGAACCCTCAAGCCTCACAGGTTGAACCCCTAAAGCCTAAACCCCTAAGGCCCTCAACGTCAAACCTCAGATTTGTCATCGCCCTGGACAGTAAGGTTCTTGTTAAGGAATGTGATCTAAGCTACCATAACAGGGATCTATAGTAAATGATACGGTTTCCTTATGTTTCAGTATAATGGTAAAAGGAACCCTTATATATCCCATTATGGTAACTTGAGTTAAATGGGAGTTCCGAAAATGAGGGGTACCTTTTATTGGGGTCCTTATAATAAGTGTCCTACTACTTAGGGTACTTTATCAGGGTCCCCTATTTTCGGAAATTCCCATGTAAGTCCCCTGCGTAAAGGATCGTGGGTCTTAGTAGCTGGGGATATAACTAGGGTAACTATACTTATAACTACTTATAACCCCAGTTGAGGTGCTTATAACCTTACTTACTAAGTCCCATGATCCTCCAAGTAAACCCGAAGCCCGAAACCCTAGACCCTAAACCCAAAACAAATCCCTTAGCAAGAACCCGAAGTTCGAAACCATAAACCCTAAACCCTAAACCCGAAACCCAAAACAAATCCCTTATGGGTTCCTTTAAGGGTACTATGTTAGGGTCCCATATTCTCGGAAACCCCCCAAATCCCTTAGCAAGAGCCCGGCCAGGTGGTGGTCCAGGGGGAGCTAGAGCAGATGAACCCGCAGGCCGGGAGTTAGGGTTTAGGGTTTAGGGTGTTAGGGTGTAGGGTTTAGGGTTTAGGGTTTGGGTGTTAGGGGTAAGGTTTTAGCGCCCCACTTAACCCCGAAGGACCTAGATTGTTTTTGGGGACGTCTATAAAGAAATCATAGTAAGGAGCCCTAAAAAGGGTAGGGTTATTCAGGGTTAAGGCCGGGTTTAGGGCTTAGGGCTTGGGGGTTTGGGGGTTTGGGGGCTTTGGGGTTGAAGGTTTTAGGGTCAAGGGTTTAGAGTTTTGGGGGCGTAGAGCTCAGGATTTAGAGTTTAAAGTTGATTAAGGTTTTGGCGCAATAAGGGTTTGGGCTTTGTTGGTTTAGGGTTTTGGGGCTGAGGGTTTAGGGCCATTGAATTAAGATGTGAGGGGATAAGAGCTTGGAGATTCGGGTGATTCGGGCGCTTGTTCTTTTGATTTGCGTGAATTTTTGAGGGTTTGGGGTTCAGGTTTGGGCGGGGCTCACCCGGGTCCTACGGGAGGCAGGGATGTTCTGAGAAGCGTTTTTGTTTTACAGGGCTCTAGATGCGGTCTTGAGTGGATCAGGGGAGAGTTAGCTCTGCAGGTTTCAGATTTGGAGATGCCTACCATAGGTATTGGAAGCCCTAAACTTAAAGCTTAATCCTTAATCGCTAAGCCCTAAACCCTCAACGGTTCTAAAGGTTTAGGGTTTAGCTGATGTTCTGAAAACCCTGCTTCTGGTCAAGGCTTGTGATTTGTATCTATTTTCTCAAAGTTTACTTAGTTTCCTGAGCTTTTAAGTGGGACATTGGGTTCATTTCTCTTCAAGGAATGAAGGGGGGCACATTTACTAGTTAACCCCTGCGCCCTAACACTCAAGTCCTAAACCCTATCAGCCTTAGGCTGAAGGAGTATGGTTTTCGGGCTCGGCTCAGGGTACACACTGCTGGCGTGATTTGTTCTTTTCGTTTGGAAAGGATGGGGCGGTTTGGGGTTTAGAGTCTCTGTGTGTGTGTGTGTGTGTGTTGCATCCATCGAGTTTCTGTGCAGGATTTTTAGTGGATTCTCCAGGCCTTAAAGAAAGCTCAGTACTGACAAGGTGGAGGAAGGAATAGACGCAGCTTACTGGATACGGTTTAGTAGGGTTGAGGGTTTAGGATTGATAGCCTTTAACCTCCTGACGGCATTGAACTCCAGCATGAAGTCTTACAAGCCCAATGCTACCGGGCGGAGATGGTTTCATGTCAACGATTCTTTTTTGTGCCCGGAGTTTTTTGAAGCTCGCCGGGATGCCTTGTCTTCCTATGTCCCATGTTTATTAACAGCATTAGATCCTTCAGGCTAAACGGGCTAAACCGTACTTTATACATCTCGTTTGCGAGTCCTTTTGGGGGATCTGTGACCCCGAGACATTCAACTGCAAACTGTTGGACCCACAAGCTCTAAACCAGTAGTCCTAAACCACCTTCAACCTCAAACCCCCAGCCCCAAACCCTTACGCCAGCTGTATTTGTCTTGCTTGGAGGCCCTTTTGACTTAGTAAGTCTACTTAGTATCCCCTAGAAGCCCTATTATAATCCCCTATAACCCACCTTACTAGCCCCACTTACTAAGTCAAAAGGGCCTCCAAGTGGGCTGGCACCCTAGACCCGAGCAGTCAACCAGAAATCTTCTTGCAGGCACCGCGCACACTGAATGCAGAGGCTCGCACCTCAAAAGCTGAAATTCAGAACCCTACACACTCAGGCCTTAGTAGCTGAGTTTATGAACTTTAAACTTTTTGGGATAATGAAACCCTCTTAAAACTGAAAGTTTAAACTTTTTTGGCTTATGAACTCGGCACCTAAGAGACCTAAACCCGAGTTCTACTCAAAGATTTGGCTTATGTAGGCTTGTATTCTAGGGCAGTGTATTGCCTAGATTCTACGGCTAGTTGCAAGGGCCAGGTAAGTGGTTAGAGAAAGTCCCGAGGTGAACGTTCACAGCCCATGTGGGAGTTTCCGAACATAGGGGACCCCAGTATAGTAGGATCCTTACTGTAAGGACTCCAAAATAAGGTACCACTAATTTCGGAAACCCTAAACCCTTATAGAGCCCTTGAAAGGAAGCCTTATAGTACCCTTGTAGCAACCCTTTCAAGGAACCCTACCTGGACCCTAAAGAACCTACCTTTTTTGGGTTCCTCTTATGATTTCCTTATATAAGTCCTTAAAAAGGTAGGCTATTTGGGGTCAAGGTAAGGTACCACTAATCTGTCGGAAACTTTCATGTGGGAAGCTAGTGGCAAGGCCGATCGCCGGAGTCTGCTGCATCGAAAGCTCCGAAATGGGGACGTTCATAAGTATTTCAGGACGAGGGATCTAAGGACTAAGGGATCTATAAGGGCTCCTTTTAAAGGGATCTATAGGGTTTAGGGATCTAAGGACTCATATTTTAAGGCCTTTGGGCCTAAGGACCATGTTATATAAGGCTTTTGGGCCATTTTGAGCCTTTAAGCTTAGGTTCTGGTCTAATTGACGCACGAACTTCCTGTTAAATACGGTCAACGGAATGGAATGGGGTAGGGTCTTCGGACATCCTAGGCCTCGTGATGACCGAAGTCTCAGGGAGCTGGGGTAAACTATGGGAGCCACGTTTTCGGTTCCCCGCACCAACCATACCCCTAAACACCGCAAGATCCGCAAACCCCTCGGCCCCCAAACCTTAAACCCTAAACCCTAAACCCTAAAGCCCCAAACCCCCAAAGATCCCTTATAGTTCCCTTAAAGGAACCCTTATAGTACCCTTTTAAAAGGAACCCAGACCCAAATCCAAAAAAGTTGCCATTTTCTAGAGAGCCCCCCAGCCCGGAACACCCTAAAAGCACACATCGATTTTTATTTTTGCATTGTCACCGCCCTCGTAAACCCCCCAAAACTCCAAAATCCTAAAGCTCCCAAGCCCGAAACGGTAACGCCTTGAACCGAGAGTTCTGTCAATCTTAGGTGCAGCGATTAAAACCTAATTTCCTTATCGAACCCTTGTACATCCCTGAAGAAGGAATCTTCTTAAGAAGCCCTATTTGAATTATTAAGGCCCCTAAACCCTAAAACCCTTCAACCCTAAACCCTAGACCCCCGCAAGAAGCACCCAAGGCAGGCGCCGACGGAGTAGCGCACTTCGTTGGGCGCAGCGACTTTCACTTTTTGTATCGGGCTCAGTGTAGGGCTTACAGTAAACCCCATAAAGTTGGAAACCGGATGAAGGCCAAATAGTGCTGAGATTCCCTATACCTTGCTCTTAGGGATTGAGGCTATGGGGTTTCCAACTTTTTGGCTTCTACTGTATGTAGAAGCCAGTCTCAGAAGGTCTAGGCTTTTGGGTTCAGGGTTTTAGGTTTGGGGTTCGGGGCTTGGAGTTTCGGGGCTTCGAGAAATTAGGGATTTTACTGCTTAGGGTTTCGGGCTTCCGGGTCTGCCTTGGAATCGAGGCGTTAGGGTTTAGGGCTTCGAAAGTCACCGCCGTCATCGCAGCTGAGCCTTACGCCCGACTATGCATGCAATGTAGGCGCCTGAATCATTACCTATGTACTTGTGATATACCTTCAAACCTTGTTCTGATCATTAACGGCTCTGATCTAGAATAAGTACCCAGACCTTCCAAAATCCCTTAATTAAGGAATATACCTTAATTCATAGTCGGGGTCCTATTATAATTTAAGGTATCTTCCTTAATTAAGGGATTTTGGAAGGTCTGGGTAATAAGCACTGAAGGTTCAGGCCCTTGGAGTTGCCGAAGTAGGTCAGGTGTTTGAGCATGGAGAAGCCTGTAGACTCGACATCTCCTCAACCGCAGGCCCTAAGCCCAGAGCCCTACAACCCTATCTATCTAATTACCTACCTATCTATCTATCTCTTGCTGTCCATCCATCCATCCATCCATCCATCCATCCCTCGATCTATCGATCGATCGATCTATCTATATCTGTCTATCTTTCTGCTGTACAAGGCGGCCCATAGACTCGCCACCTTGCACACTACCCAGAGGCCCCATAGTAGTTCATTTTTGGGGTTACCTCATGAGATGATAAATATGAGCCCCCACAAGGAACTACTGGGTAAACCTTGTTGCAATCATTAAGGCCCTACGCAACCTGACCAAGCTCACCTCATGGCCTAGGCGCCCGTCGCAGCGCCACATTTTCCGACTTCGACTGCTTGGCCAAGAAGGTGTGTGGGCCGTGTGGGGGTCCTTTAAGCGTTGAGGGGTTTTGGCAGGGTCTAGAAGCTGGGGGGTTGGGCTTCCGGGTCTTTCTGAATTAAAGGGATGCAATCTCTTCCCTAAGCCCTAAACCCTACACCCCTAAACCCTAAACCCTAAACCGTAAACCCCTAAACCCTAAACTGTCTGATGGGGCGAAACAAGAGTCTCAGCCACTCAGACCCTGAGCTACCCGGTACGAACAACTGACAAAACCCTGGCTAGAAAGCAGGAAACCCTACTGTAGGACCTATGCTATTTTGGGGGGGTTCCTTATTATACGTATAGTGAAATGGGACCCCAAACCCTATTCTAATTTTTAAGGCCCCTATATTAAACTCTCTAGCCCTACATTATGATTTACGAAGCCTTCCCTGCAGAACCGCTTCTGCGGCTCGAAGCAACCACTGGCCGCGCTGGGCGTCGCGGCCTCATCCTTCTTCATCTTCGGGTTTCGGGTTTGCTATTTTGAGCCTTAGGGTAAAGGATGTTGTGCAAGGCTTCTACAATGCTTCTATGAGGATTTCACAGGTTCTGGGTTTCGGGATTATGTTGGGTTTTGTTTGTTAGGGTTTCGTGGGTGTGGATGCTTTTGAGTCTGACGGGCCCAGGTTTTGTTATAGTTTAGGTGATAAAAACCCAGACGGGTGTGTGTGTGTGTGTGTGTGTGTGTGTGTGTGTGTGCGTGTGTGTGTGTGTGTGAGAGTGTGTGAGGGTGTGTCTGTTTGTGTTGGGATATTCACCGGCTGGTAGGGGTTGTGTTTCATTTTGTGAGCGGGTGCAAGTGTACTATCTTGGAATCTAACACCAAACCCTACCCCCAAAACGTTGAAAGCGGCTGCCGGCTTCTCTACACCCTAAACCAAGGACTCCAAGGACTGTTTCCTACAAGTTTCCCTCTCGACACCAAACCCTCGCCCAAAAGGTCCTGAACACGAGCCCATAAGAGCAAAGATCACAGAACGCTACCGGGGAAAGAGAGAGGGTAGGAATGCAAGATCGAAATGCATGCCCAGTTGCCGTGCCACCGGAAATTGCACGCCGCATCCCTGCAGTGGGGGCCTTACCTTGCAACAGTCTTCTTTATCAGACCTAAATCCTAAACTCTAACCACCCTAGACGGTGCCTAAACCCGAAGCTAGAAACCCTACACCCTACACCGATGCTTGATGCAGTTTGCTTGCGACTGTGGTTTTACAACGACTGTCTTTATCAATCACCGATCGTCCCTCATGGAACAAGCGACCCGGAGCCTGCAGCTGGGTTTAATGTTGAGCGTTTTGTAGGGCTTAGGAGCCATGAAACCCCGAATCCCAACCTTTCAAAACGCAAGGGGATGTGGCAGACCTACATCGGCCCCGAGCACGAACTGGGGGAATGGCTGGGCCAATGCCGCACGTCTTGTAAGCGTGCGACTAGCGGTCTTAATTTTGGGTTGGAGGATTTAAGGCTTGGTTTAGTTCCAGGCCGTTTGCTTTGTACGGCATCGAATTTCAGCTGCTTGCCTTCGAAACTGGTACTCTCGCTGCTGCTGGCAGTGTTCTTTGGATGGCGTTGTTGTCGCTGTCTCCACTAACACCAAAGCCCCGGAACCCATCCTAAACCCTATACCGTAAACCCTGAACCCCAAACCCCTACCCCTTCAAGCGCTGTAAACCTGTCAAGTCCGAGATCCTAGCAGCCCTGATTAGCCAATTCAGTTCAATGTGTCATGCGAGGACATTGCTCGCGGAGCCCCGCTGACTTGCTAAGGCTGTAGTAGTACAGATCCCAAAATCTCCAGCACTGTTCCGTCACGGCGGGCGAGGGTGAAGATGTGAACCGGCTTTCCCAACCTCCCCGGCAGGAGCCTGAGCCTCGTGAGCGAAGCAGAAGCCCGCGGGCGCGGCGTTGATCGGCTTGACGGTGAAAAGAAGGGAGCTTGGCCCCCACAATGGGGAATTGTATGGTCTCCCGGAGGTTTATGACCTGGAGATGGCCCGCCATACCGACGAGATGAAAGAGCGCGGTATCCGCATCGTCGACCCCCAGGCCCTCATCCTCGCGACCGAGCGGTACGATGGGTTCCACATGGAGACTACCCATGAGAACGTGAAATCTGAAAGTTACCACCAATTGGTTCTTTCACCTCTGCTCTGCGGTGATGTTCGAACGGTGGCTTGTGAAGCACGCGATGGAGCTAAAGGCAAATTCAGCTCCTTGTTCTAATTCAAGCATAACATACTTCCCAAACAGCCCTAAGCCCTGTACTTATCTAATGATTGAGGTCCCTATAGTAAGGGTTCCTTAAAGGGCTCCTTAAAGGGATCTATAGGGGTTCCTTAAAGGGATCTATAGGGTTTAGGGTTTAGGGTCTACTTAAAGGATCATGGTAGTAGGGTAGCCCAAGCACCTGAGACTCCTCAGTCCCCGAAACCAACCGCAACACTCACTCAAACGGTGAACTAGGATGCCCAGTAGTACCCTTATTCCCTTTTTGTAGTCCTAGGTTCCTTATAAAGTTGCCCAATACCAAAAAGAGAGGCCTTTTTATTCTTAGGTTACTGGGTATCCTAGCTACTATAGGGGTTCCTTAAAGGGATCTATAGGGTTTAGGGTTTAGGGTCTACTTAAAGGATCATGGTAGTAGGGTAGCCCAAGCACCTGAGACTCCTAAGTCCCCGAAACCAACCGCAACACTCACTCAAACGGTGACTAGGATGCCCAGTAGTACCCTTATTCCCTTTTTGTAGTCCTAGGTTCCTTATAAAGTTGCCCAATACCAAAAAGAGAGGCCTTTTTATTCTTAGGTTACTGGGTATCCTAGCTACTATAGGGGTTCCTTAAAGGGATCTATAGGGTTTAGGGTTTAGGGTCTACTTAAAGGATCATGGTAGTAGGGTAGCCCAAGCACCTGAGACTCCTCAGTCCCCGAAACCAACGCAACACTCACTCAAACGGTGACTAGGATGCCCAGTAGTACCCTTATTCCCTTTTTGTAGTCCTAGGTTCCTTATAAAGTTGCCCAATACCAAAAAGAGAGGCCTTTTTATTCTTAGGTTACTGGGTATCCTAGCTACTATAGGGGTTCCTTAAAGGGATCTATAGGGTTTAGGGTTTAGGGTCTACGTAAAGGATCATGGTAGTGGGGTAGCCCAAGCACCTGAGACTCCTCAGTCCCCGAAACCAACCGCAACACTCACTCAAACGGTGAACTAGGATGCCCAGTAGTACCCTTATTCCCTTTCTGTAGTCCTAGGTTCCTTATAAAGTTACCCAATACCAAAAAGAGAGGCCTTTTTATTCTTAGGTTACTGGGTATCCTAGGTGAATGGACACCAAACGCCAAGCCCTGCAACCCCAAAGCTCCCCCAAACTGTAGCCCCAAAGCTTGAGACGTATGCTAACTTATACTGGTATCCCATAACCCTAAACCCAAAACCCTAAACCCTAAACCCTAAGTTTTAAACCCTAAACCTTAAACCCTCACTTCAGCAATCACTCCCCTAAACCCAAATCCGCCTCGCAGCCCCAAGCCACTTTAGACCTTAAAGGGAACTCCAGAAAGTTGGAATATGGATTAATGGTAGGATCCCCTATAGTTTACCTTCAAGGGGTTACGATAATGATATTCCAACTTTCTGGCTTCTACTGTAAAGCCCCAGGGCAAATCTGGTCCGGAAGACAGGGTCTGGTTTAGGGTTTAGACCCTAAGCCCTAAACCCCTAAACCCCTAAACCCTAAACCCTTGAACCCTATAAACCCTAAACTCCTAAACCCTTAGTAAACCCTATAAACCCTAAACTCCTAAAGCCTTAAACCCTAAACCCTTCGGTAAGGGTTTCGGGGTTTCAGGTCCCGAGCCCATGGTCTGGTGCTTTCACCCGGACTTCGCGCTGCTTCGGGCGCTGTGGCCGGATCCCCGAGGGGGGTCTCGTGGGTTGTAGCAAAAACCGTACCTTTGGTTAGTAGGGTTTAGGGTCTTATAGAGGGGTCTATAAGGGTTAATATAAGGGATCTATAAGGGTACTATAATGTAGGGGCTTTAATACTCCTATAACTTACCTTTGGTTTGTAGGGAATGGAAGAATGGTAGTAATAGTAGTTAGAATTGTACCCCATTCCTCCTTTCCCTACTAACCAAAGGTGAAAACACCCAAAAGTTGGAACATCGAAATCGGATGATCTGTGCAGGTATTTCTTGTACTGAGCCGTTTAGGACAATGAGTGTCCTACTTTAGTTCAATAGTCAGTTTCTCCGTACCTTTTGGATTTAAGACTTCGGTTGTTGGGATTGGGGCTTTGGGGGTCTCCTTGATTTTGGACTTTGCGCTTTGGGCTTCAGGGTTCGTGCACGTTTTAGGCTTTGGGATTTGGACTTGGCATTTGGTCCAAACCCTAAACCCTAAACCCTAAACCCCTAAACCCTAAACCCAAACCCTAAACCGAGCCGAAGAGACCGAAGCGGAAGAAGAGTCGACCTCTACAACGAGCGGGAGCAGAAGCCCTGACCCAATAAAGGGGCCCAGACCCTCCAAAATCCCTTAAGTAAGGAATATACCTTAATTCATATTAGGGATCCTATTATACTTTAAGGTATATTCCTTAATTAAGGGATTTTGGAAGGTCTGGGGGTACCACCAGCAGCGACGAGCCGTTTGGAACTGGGTTCAAGTCAACTACGGCCCTCTGGTGGGGGGAACTTCGATACTTCAACCGCTCCACAGGGCACCTGCAGACTGTGGAGGAGACGCCAGAAGCGGGGGAGATCAGGTACCTCAGCGCGACAGGGAGCAAAGAACTGGTGAACAAACTGGCAGAGCTTGCGTACGAAGTGGTCCAACAGCGCGTGCGAACCTCTCCAGGGTGTGCGGGTTTGGATTTTGGGGCTCAGGTTCTCAATCTGGGTCATAGGGCTACCCCTAGGTCTTCAGATCTGAACATCATATTTTTGGAGTTTCCGAAAATTGGGGTGTAGCCTTGTTTTGGGGTCCTGAAACTTATAATAAGGAACCCACTATTTAGGATACTGTATTGGGGTTCTCTATTTTCGGAACTCCCATATCGATGCTCTTGGGAACCCTGAACCCTATACAAACTGCAACTCCAGCAAATCGCAAGCCTTAAAGCTACTTAACCGTCAACTCAAGAAAGCCCAAGAACATAACACCAAGCGGCCAGTCTGTAGTATACATATTCGTGTCGACGACTGCAGTTATGTGTGTGTGGTTGTGTGTATAGTTACTTATGTTGTGTGTGTATATACAATATATATATATATATATATATATATATATATACATGTATATATATATATATACATACACCTTATTTGTACGCACACATACATCCACATATACGGATACAGTAACATACCCACCCACCCACCCACCCACCCACCCACGCACCCACCCACCCACCCACCCACCCACCCAGCCACCCACCCACTGGTACTTGCATACCGACATACCTACTTTCTTGCCTGCCTACCTACATGCACAGATGGGCGCATGCAGATGTATGAGTGTGCTTTCAGAAGTGTGCACCTTCGCAGCAGGGCGCTTGGATGCCATTGGATCAACGTGGGATCTTGTTACCCAGCATCCTGCCCTACAGGGATCTTGCCTCTTTTTTGAGACACTACATGGAGGGTCATTGAACTTAGTAAGTAAGGTTATCAGTAACTTGGTTGGGGTATTAAGTAATTATGAGTACAGCTACTTATTATTTATAACCCTACCTACTAAGTCCCATGATCCTCCAAGTAGGCTCTTTGGGGTCCTGGTCAACCTGAACGGAGGCTCCGACTTCTCAGCCACGAAGCCCTTACCACTACCCGACGAAACCCCAAAACCCCTTAATTAAGGAATATACCTTAAATCATACTAGGGCTCCTATTATAATTTAAGGTATATTCCGTAATTAAGGGGTTCTGGAGTCTCTGGGTAACCGCCGAAGCTCTGCAAGGCTCAACGCTTGCTTCACGCTGCCTGAGCCCCGCTCTCCCATTACGCAGTGCCCGAACCCGGTGTCGAGGCCAGGGCGGCTAGTGGAGTTAAGGGGTGTGGGGGTATTGTAGGGGCCTTCATAATTAGAATAGGGTTTTGGGGCCCATTATACTGTAGTTGTAGTAAGGAACCCCCAAAATAGTGTAGGCAATTATTGAGGCCCCTATAGTACAGGAATTCGGGTTTGGGGTTTAGGGGTTTGGGATGTAGAGCAGAGGTGTTGGGATGGGCTGCGGGTTGTGCTTTTTTGGTTTCGGGTTTGGCATCATGTGGCTGAGGCGATAGGGTTGATCTTGTTGCTTGCGCTTGAATATGTGAGACGATGATAAGGGCGATGGTGATGACGGGGCGATGCTGATAATTAGCAGGGATGGGATGGCATTTGTCGCCTGGAGCCGCAGCTGTTCTTCCTAGTGCTCTATGCCTGGAAGGGAAGTGGGATGCAGTGAGGGGATAGTCGACGCCAGGCATGCGACATCTTAGACCCCGAACCCCCAAAACCCCAAACACGTCCAAAAAGCAGCAGGCAAAAGCGCCCTAAACCCCAAAACATGTTTGTTTCTGCTTTACTGTGCCAGGTACTGCCTCGACCTGACCAAGGGCCAACCATGGCTTCGATCTGAGTTTTCATAGTGCGGTCAAAGAAATTCGGGGTGTAGGGGTTTAGGGTTTAGGTTTTCAGGGTTTGGGGTTTCAGGGTTTGGGGTTTAAGGGCTTGGGGTTTAAGGGTTTAGGGCTGTAGGGCTTGGATTTATAAGGGTTTATCGTGCAGGGATTCAGGGCTTGGATCTTGGGTAGTCTTAGGGTCCAGGTTTCAGGATTTAGGCTTCCCTAGTCCATACCTTAACTAACGGGACCCCTGTACTGTGGCCAAACCCGGACTGCTGAAAAGATGCTTGACACCCTACACAAACCTGCCTGCCACCCTATCAGTAATCCCCACGACCGGATTCACTATGCATTCAGTTCAATACAGCCTCATACAACCTCTGTAGGGGCTTTGCTATACCTTTGTAAACCCCCCTACGAAACCACACAACAAGATTTCCCTGAGGTTAAGGAGCAAGAAGGTGCGTAGGGGCTTGCCATACCTTTGAAAACTCTCTAGGAAACCACAAGATTTTCCTGAGGTTAAGGAGCAAGAAGGTGCGTCGGCACAAGCACGACTTCCGTTTGACAGCAGCTCGGCTCGAGCATTTTGTGGCAAGACATGGCGACTTAGAGTAGACTCAGGGCTTGACGGTTGTTGGGTGTTTAGGGTTTAGGACTCACGTGACGTAGGGTAAGTTTACATGCTGGCTTTTTTTGGGAGTGTAGGTAGGGCGTCTTTGGTCGGTGCATCTTCACCTTTCCTTCCGGAGATGCTAGCAATACAAGCCATACCTCATCTCTTGGTGTAGGGGTGCAGGGTCGGCCTTGGAGTGGGTTTTCGGGGTAAGGGTTGATAGTGGTCCGCAGGCCTTCTGGAGACCTTATGCTATAGAGTGTACTGCTGGGTTTCACGAGCGAGAGCCAGAGCAAAAGCAAGAGCAAGAGCGCGAGTAAGATCAGTAGCAAAAGCAAGAGCAAAGACAAGAGTAGCAGGAGGAAGTGAAGAGCAGAAGCAAGAGCAGAAGCAAGAGCAAGAGCAAGAGCAGGAGGAAGAACCCTAAACCCTAAACCCTGAACCCTAAACCCTAAACCCTAAACCGTGGAGCAACAGCAACAACAGAGGCACGAGCAAGCGCAGGAGCAGGAGCAAGAACCAGGACAAGATCCCCCCAAAAGTGACCTAGGACCCAGAGTAGGTCCTTATTTCCTTTTTTAGGGTTTAGGTTCCCTTATAAGCACCCTTAAACCAAAAAGGGCACCCTTCTTATTCCTAGGTTACTCTTGGGTCTAGTGACAGTAGAGATATTAAGGGAGTTTCCGAAAGTTAGGGGTACCTCATTTTGGGGTCCTTATAACAAGGAGGGATCCTACTATTTAGGGTGCTATATTAGGGTCCCCTATTTTCGGAAACTCGTATAAACCTGCCCCCAAATAATCAAAAGATCACTTTCATAGTTTTTATTGGGGGGGAGGGGGGGGGCAGTTTAATCGGAAGGGATTGCTCTCGGATATCTATTCCTTGGCCCAAACCCAAAAACCCTAAACACTAAACATCCTTCACGTCCGAAGGCGGTCGGACCAACCAGTGACAATTTCACCGTTCCTTATACTTCTATTGTAATCTACCCCGAACCGCATCAACTGCACTCGCAGCACATCCTGTGCTTTCCTGTAAGCCCAGAGACGAAAGATGAGGTCAATGCCGACTACCAGTCCAGCTTCGAGATATGTCAGGCGGGAGGGTCAAGGTTCAGGATGTGGGAGTTTCCGAAAATCGGGGGCACCCGAATGTAGTACCCTAAATACGTAGTAGGATCCCTATTGCAAGGATCCCCATATAAGCTATCCTTATTTTTCGGAAACTCCCATGTAGGGGGTTGGGGATCGGGGCTTTTAACGGCTAAGGTTTAGGGGTAGAGGGTTAGAGGGTTAAGGGTTTAGGGTTTAGGCTTTAAGGTTTAGGCTTTAGGGTTAGAGGGTTGTAGAGTTAGAGGGTTTAGGGTTAGGGTTTAGGCTTTAAGGTTTAGGGTTTAGAGTTTAGGCTTTGGGCTTTAGGGTTTAGGGTTAGAGGGTTAGGAGTTTGGGGCTTGGGATGGGGGCCTAGCTCAGCATGGAAGCTCTGATGCGCCGTTGCTTGCTTTCTGCTTGCTGGCGTGTTTACAGTTTGACTTGCTCGCGTTTATGGTAGACTCTTTCTCCAAACCTAAACCGCGAACTCTCGGTAAGTGTGGAATTAAATTCAGGCCGGCTCGGACAAACCCAGCAGGTACTGTTGCAGGCACACAGAGCGAGACATTCATAAATACATACGCCTCATACGGGAATAGGCACACTGCGTGCTGAAGCGTTTGCATGTTCAACCACTCGGATTCGCAAGCAGGCGATGCACATGGAGCTGCATGGAAGTGTCTTGGTACGAAGATGCTTCAGCGACAGGTCATGCTGTCACAACAACACGAGTGTGTTGTAGTACCAGTAGTAGTAGCTCTGCAAGCACTAACAGTAACTGTGGCAGTGGCAGCAGTAGGAGTAGCAGCAGGAGCAGCAGCAGCAGCAGTAGCAGTCGCACTCGCAGTAGCAGCCTAGCAGTCTGACTGTGGTGGTGGTGGTGGTGGTGGTGGTGGTGGTGGTGGTGGTGGTGGTGGTGGTAGCAGCAGCAGCAGTAGTAGAACTAGTCGTAGTAGCAATATTAGTAGTCGAAGGCCGTCCTGGTGCTAGTCCTAGTCTGCAAAAATCCGACCGAAGCTGAGAGTCCGCCAGACCTTTGTAGCACCCTAAACCTGCAAATGGACAGCCCAGGCACCTGGATCACGCCGGGGCTTATCCAAAGCTTAGACAAGTGCCGACGTGAGGACGCCTCGACCGGATTTCTCAAACAAGCGTTTCGGTGACTAGGGCTTCTTCGGGAGAGAGGTGAGCGCATACCTGGGCTACCTTCTGGGGACGCTGGTCACCAGCACCCTACTTCAAGCAAAGCCCGCACCTGAGAGCCTTAGATTCGGGTTCAGGGTCTGGAGTTGCAGTGCTATACCCTAAACCCCTAAATTTGTTTTTTTTTCACAAAAAAAATAAACCACGAACCCTATGAGATGGTATGAGGCAGACAAAGAACCCTTATCCGACCTTTGGGTTTAGGGTCACGGACTTAGCGTTCAGGCGTTCAGGGTGTTCGAGGTGAAGGATATTGCCGAAGAGTCGCGGTTAACTCACTTATTATTGTGGGTCCTTGTAGATGAAGGGATTGTTTGGGGTCCGAGTTAAATCAAAGTTCCGTGTTTTCTGGATGTTCATTGAGGGTTCGGGTCATTCGGAGGTCTTCAACACGAGGCTTCTGAGATGGTTATGCCGTTATGCCCCGGAATTAAGGGGCGTTGATAGCTGGGTCCAGGGTTTAGGGAAATCCCCATATAATCTAAATGGAGGGGCTATTACTCTTAATCCCGGGTGCACAGTAACAACCGTATCCAATGCAAAGCCGTCGTGGGGTGACTAGAAAAAGCGACTGTCCCTAACCCCGAACCCTGGGCCAAATCCTAAACCCCTACACCCTAAATCCTTAAACCCTCAAAGACGTTTCGCCTACACGCTGGACCCTAAAGCAGTGTATTCCAGGACTCGCAAGTGAAGGCCCCCAGGCTGCAGCTTAGACTAGGCTTCAGGGCTTTGGGGGTTTTCGGGAGTTTCGTGTTTCGAGTTTAGCTTTGTTTTGGTGTAGTGTAGGGTGCAGGGGTTAGGGTGGTTCGCGCTTAGGGGTTACAGTGCTTGGTTTTGGAGTTCTTCTATATTCATGGCATTGAGGGAGTTCCGTGAGGTTCCTGTAAGGGTTCCTTTATTGCTCCTTTGGGTTGGTTCTGGGGACTGCACAACCATCCTGAAGCCTGCAACCCTCAAGCGCAAAGCAAGCCCTTGACCCCTAAGCCCTAAACGAACCCTAAACCCTAAAATCCTGAAATGTAAGCCCCTTTGGGAGGCAGGCATCGACCCTGCTGCATCGCATGCGAAGCACAGGAAGAAGCCATTGCACTTAACAAAAATCCTGAAATTTAAACCCACACCCTAAGCTAAGCTGCCACAAACCGCAGTAAGGCCTCGAAGCCTGTTACAGTAGAAAGCAGCGTAGCTGTGTAGGAACTGTGTAAAGCGGGGCCTTTATAACCATATACTAAATGATATAGTTCAAATCGATATGTCAATATCTACTACACTAGCTACTTCGTTAAATATACATATCTGTGTATCTACTCACCCTACCTAAATCCCCCAAACCCTATAAAATCCTAAACCCGAAGCCCTAAAGCCCTAAACCTAAAGCCAGAGGCCCCCAAAGCCTAAACTCAAAACCCCCAAGGTCTATTCCATCGAGCTGTGGGAGAAGAGCCGGCGGCTTTGGAAGTGTTTGCTGCGGTGCACCTCCCTGGTTCAGGAGGATTCAGGGTTCGTTTAAAGGGTACTACAACTGTTCCTTGTAAGGGATCTATAGGGTTCAGTTCAGGGTTTGAGGTTCAGGGTGTGGGGTTAAGGGTTTGCGGTTTAGGGAGGGTTTAGGGGTTTAGGATTTTGGGTGTTCTTAGTAATGACTGGGTTCCTTCAAGGGTGCCTTTTCAAGAGTCAGGGTTCTTTAAATGGGTACTATAGCAGTTGCTGTAAGGATTCCATACTTTTTTGGTTCTTAGTAGGGATTGCAGGGACGACACCACGGAACTTTAAGGGACTCTCATAAGGAGGCAGAATCAGGGGATGTAAAATGGGTAGCTGGGGTTTTAGGGCTCTCATGAATGAAGGGGTTCCTGTAAGGCTTCTACAATGGGTTATGTGGGGTTTTACAGGATTATGGGCTTAGGTGTTTAGGGTTTCTAAGGGTATAGGGCTTGGGGTTTCGAAGCTTAGGCTTGCAAGTCAGGTAGCCATGGTCATCTGTAGCTGTCACCCTCAATTTACGGAATCCTCACCGTACATGCGAAGTCCCATGATCCTTCAATTGCCACGTTAGAGTCTTGGGTGCTTAAGGTCAAGCGTTTTTTGCGACAGTGATTTTTGTTAAGGCCCCGAGACCCTAAGCCCTAAACCCGCCAACCCCCTCAACCCTCACTTAAACGGGGTTACGGTTTAGCATTCTGAGGAACATGATGCCATGATCATAACAAAAACTATGAGCTCCCAGACTCGAAAGCCATCCCCTCAACTACCTCCCGTCCCGGACGTCTACGGACTGAGCCCGGTTTAAGGTTTTCGGGCTGTGTCGTGACCACAAATCCCGTCCTGAGCTTCGAGGCTTCGGCCCCCATGGCGATTGAAAGGAGACCGTAAAAGCAACTTCCGAAACCCTTTCCAAGCCCTTAGGTTCGGGAAAGCTTGCAGCAGTGATCATGGCTCTCAGTGTCGGTGCGCTGGCAGCAATAGTACAGTCAGTAGAGTGTTTCCAGGGTCGGAGTGTGGGGTTTGGGTCAATTACGTAACCTAGAACTCGTTACTTCCTTACAAGATGATGCCCTGACGCCCTCGGCTAGCGACTGCCCCAAGACCGGCCGCGCTCCATCTCCCCTTGTGAGTTTAGTTTACAGTTTAGAGCTTAGGGTTTAATTTCAGGGTTTAGGGTTCAGCGTCGGCTCTGCGTTCACAAGGTTTAGGCTTGAGATCGGGGTTTCGGAGTTCCAGAGGGTTCTGGCACCGTGACCTAGGAATCATGGCAAGTCCCTTACTAGGATGCCCAGTAGTACCCTTAGGGATCTATAAGGGTTCCTTAAAGGGATCTATAAGGGTTCTCTAAAGGGTTTAGGGTTTCCGAAAATTAGGGGCTAGGATGCCCAGTAATACCCTTATTCCCTTTTTGTAGTCCTAGGTTCCTTATAAAGTTACCCAATACCAAAAAGAGAGGCCTTTTTATTCTTAGGTTACTTGGTATCCTAGAGGAAGCAAATCAAGTCCACATATGGATCCTGGTGCAGGACAGGGCTTAGAGTCAGAGCCAAGTTCAGGGGGTTTAGGGTCAAATAGCATTGCCCGCCCTGATCTGAAGGAAAGGGTCAACACTGCCGTAGTCTTATAGGGTCCTTTTCAAACCCTAAACCCTAAGAAACCCTAAACCCTAAGAGAGTCGTAAACTCTGAACAGTTTAGGGTTTAGGGTTTAGGGTTGAAACCCTTTTTGGAGGTTCCATGCTAGGGGGAGGGTCTGGCCGAAAAGTCAGGGCCCATCTGCCTGTGCCCTGCCCTGCGAGGCGACATCTTCCACGACTACACCACCGTGCCTTTGGGACATGCATTGGAGATCAGGGTTTAGGATTTAGGGGGGAGTTCTTGCAAGGTAGCAGTAAGTTAGTTTAAGCGTAACGTGCGGTACTGGGGTTCTGGATACTTGGCACTGCGCAACATGTCCATTACGTCCACATGGCTGTTTCCAAAACTGAAGCTTCAGATAAGAGGCCGCCATACTATTGCGGTACTGTAGAAGCCCAAATACTTCGAACCTAGGGCTTCGGCTTTAGGGTTTAGAGTTTAGGGTTTAGGGTTTGGGTTTAGGGTTTAGGGTTTAGGGTTTAGGGTTTAGAGTTTAGGGTTTTGGGTTTGGAGTTTAGGATTTAGAGGGGGCAGGCGAACTCCTGATCAGGCGTTTCAGGGGCGTTTCTTCATTTGATTTTTCCCGCAGCCCTAGCAGTGTAGCCCTAGCCAACCATGACACCCCCGTGCAAAACGTATAAACGCCAACCACCCTGAAACCCTAATAAAAAGCAGCCCCGGTGCGAATCCTGACCCCGTAAGCAGAAAGACGTCCAATCACCGAGCAATAATGCAAAGGACCCAAATTAGAAATTAGATGGTTTTCTAAATTTTCTGGGCTTTGGAGTGGAAAAGATCTGCGGAGTTATGCTGTGCCATGCAGAAACCGTTAGTTATGCAAGGTACTTCTCCCCAAACTGGCCACACGGCAGAAGGAAGTCTATTCCCAGATGGCCCCCCTGAGTCCTAGACCCCAAACACTCCTGGGAAATTGGGCTTGATACCAACCCTAAACCCTAAACGCCCAAGATCCCAGGACGGTCATCCGCGATGGTCGTTCGCCGGGTTCAATTCTCACGAAGGCATCGTTATGCTTACCCATAAAGTAGGATTATATGGGCTCCTTAAAGGGATCTATAGGGCAGGGTTTCGGGTCTACTTCGAGGATCATGGGACTTAGTAAGTAAGGTCATAAGTACCTTAATTGAGGTTGTAAGTACAGCTACCATATTTATAACCCCACTTACTAAGTCCCACGATCCTCTAAGTAGGGCATCCTCCAGAGACTTATTTGGAAAGTCTGATGTCTGAGCAGCTTACTAAGTGAACTTAGTATTCCGCTATAATCCCCACATAAGTATACCCTACTTACTAAGTTCCCGGATCCTTTAAAGTGAGCCTTTTAAGGGTTCCGGTAATAACGGATCTATAGGGGTTTGGGGTTTCAAGTTGGGGGGGTTGGGGTTTGTGGACTTACCCTTAAAGTGGGCTAGCAGGGAATCTCAACCGGTGCTTCTTTACAGGGCTGGACCGGGAGCACCTCGGTCCCCAGGTTTCATTTTAGGGTTTGGGGTCAGCCGTTCGGCTTGACGAGAGAAGGGTTTGGGTTGGCAGGGTTCACCCACCGGGCTCGTGGGTTTCGAGGGTTTTTGGGGTTTGAAGATTCGGGGGCTTTCTCGATATAGGGGCTACCTTAAACCCGGAATAACCTACGAACCTTTTTTAAGGATTCACGTAAGAACATCATAACAAGGAGCCCTAAAGTGCACTAAGCATGTAGGTTCCTTAGGGGCTGGGCTTGAGGGTTGTATGGTTCAGGGTCTGCTTCGAGGCCCTTTTGACTTAGTAAGTCTACTTAGTATCCCCTAGAAACCCCATTATAATCCCCATAACCCACCTTACTAACCCTACTTACTAAGTCAAAAGGGCCTCCAAGTGAGGATGTTAGCGCCTTATCTGGTTTAGGGTGTAGGGTTTGGGGTGTAGGCTTCCTTATTAGAGGTATAATGGGCCCCAAGGTTTAGGGTTTAGGATGTAGGGTTCAGGGTTCAGGCTTCCTTATGATAATTGTTGAGTTTCATGGGCCCCCAAACCCTCTTCTAATTGTTAAGGCCCCTATATTGGACAGATCCTGGCTTTTGTTTATGCCGGATATCCCGGCCACGGAGGGTTCAAACCCAAGCCCGAAACCCTCAAGCCGAACGTCCCAAAACGCATAGCCCCGAAAATCCTAGAAACCTAAAGCCAAAACGCCCTAAAGCCTGCGGCCCTAAGACCCATAGCCCACAGAGCCCTAAAACCCAGCTCCGCTTGAGCCCCAGCCTTCAAAGCCATACCCCGCCAAGCCCTAAACCCCAAAATTCTACACCCTAAACCCTGAACCCTAAACCCCAAACCCTAAACCCCAAACCTAAACCCCAAAATCCTACAGCCATGGAAGTCCCTTTGAGGTGCTCGGCCACTTGTTGACCCAAGCGGGCTTCACACTCTGGTACTGGGGTTTTAAGAACCCCTACATGGCCGAGTATGCCGCTCGGCCGCAGGGTTCCTCAAAAGGTTCCAGTCATGGGTTCTTGAAAGGGATCTACCCAGACCTTCCAAAATCCCTTAATTAAGGAATATACCATAAATTATAACAGGATCCCTAATATGAATTAAGGTATATTCCTTAATTAAGGGATTTTGGAAGGTCTGGGTATAGGAGGCTCAGGGGTTTAGGGGTTAGGGTTTAAGGTTTACGGGTTTGGGTTTAGGGAGAAGTTTAGGGGTTTAGGGTTTAGGGTACTTCAACGCAGAACACTCAAGCCCTAAAGTCCTACACCAAACGGCCTATACTCCATGGGCCTCAAGGGTGGGATGAAGGCAGGTGGGGCAATCCCGAAATAAGAGCCCTGAGAAAAAAACACATACCTACCTTCATCCCATCTCAGAGGGCCTCCTATATACCCTAAACCCTAAACCCTGAACCTTAAACAGGCATCAAAGAGGAGCTCAAAAAACTCTACCCTAGATATATCCTCAACGACAAAGCCTTTATCCCAAGCGAAGCGAGCACGCGGCCTCGGGGGGCTTCACTTATACTTAATCTTATATGGTTATAACTATTACTGTATTTACTGTTCTTCTTCTTGTTTATTCACACTACTATTTTAACGCGATTTCTCGCATAATAGTCCAAAAGCCCCGATTCTGATTGTGATGGCCCCGGTTCAGCAAACACCTCTTGGCAACCCTTCTTCGGTAATTCCAGGGATCCGAAAGAAGACATGGGACCCCGGTATGGAAAGGGTTTCTTCATCAGGTTCCTGCATTATGCACTGTAAACCCCAACTCCCAAACCCTGTTTGCTACGACAAGTTTTGCCTGAGGATGCAAGCTACGGCGGCGTGGAGCTAGACAACGCCGAGGAGATCCGGGGTGCTCTTTCGGATGGATTCAGGGAAACCCAGACCTTCCAAAATCCCTTAATTAAGGAAGATACCTCCATTCATATTAGGGATCCTATTATAATTTAAGGTATATTCCTTAATTAAGGGATTTTGGAAGGTCTGGGAATTTATGGCATTGGGTTGCAGGAGGGCTGCTCGAGCGTGGATTTAAGAGTTAAAGAACATGCAGGTTTGTCATATACTAGGGTTGAGGGTTCAAGGGTTAACAATGCGACAGGCATGATGGGTAACAAGAAGTTTTGGGCAGGGCCGTCGTGCCTGAACTCGTGGTGGTTACAGCGCGTGCAACCTTTCGTACGACCTACTTGCTAGCAATAGCACGGTCTTTGATCCTGAAATCCTCATAAAACTCCATGGTTTACGTAAAGTCTAGGGTTGAGGCATTTGAGGATGCCGGCCGACCCATAAACCTTAAACCCCGAAAACCCTATACCCAAACCTTAAACCCCCCAAACCCAAAACCTTAAACCCCCAAACCCCACAGCTTGCTTTTACGTCAAGTAGAGGCCCTGAGCTCCCTAAACCACTCCTAAACCGCTCCCAAGCCCCCTAAACCACTCCGAAACCCTAAACCCCACAGCTTCGTTTTTACGTCAAGTTGTCGGACGCCCTAAGCCCCCTTTTCAGGAGTTCTGGCCTCGCTGGCGGCGTGCCATGGCGTTGGCGAGCAACTCTGCCGCATGAGGGCTGCGAGTTTAAGGTTCAGGGTTTGGGGTTCAGGGTTTCGGGTTTAGGATTTAGGGGTTTGGGTTTAGGGTTTGGGGTTTAGGGTTTAGGATTTTGGGGTCAGGGTTTAGGGTTTAGGGTGTAGGATTCTGGGGTTTAGGGTTTGGGGTTTAGGGTTTGGGGTTCAGGGTGCAGGGTTTAGGGTGTAGGATTTGGGGGTTTAGGGCTTGGGGTTTGGGGTGTAGGATTTTGGGGTTTTGGGTTCGAGAGTTTAGGGTTTAAGGGTCGGGTTTGCATGTTGTAGGATTGTTCAGGGCCTGGGGTTTAGAGTCTTGGGTTCAGGGTTTACGGTTCAGGGGAGATGCTCGTATCCAAGGGTACAAGGAGGGACCCTTAATAAGGATCCTAGGTATATACCCTTAGTATAGCTATTATATACCCATTATATGGCCCATTACAGAGGGGGTCCCCATTAAGGGTCCCTCCCTTTCCCCTTTGCTCGTATGTCTCCGTTTCCTAGCGGGGGAGAGGAGAGTGGGAGCTCCGCGCTGCAAAGTCCAACTCGCGCCTTGATGCAAGAACTTAGGGTTTAGGGTTTAGGGTTTAGGGTGAGTGGGCAGCCTTTAACCTCTAGGACCCAGAGTAGGCCCTTATTCCCTTTTTTGGGGTTCAGGTTCCCTTATAAGCCCCTTTATCCCAAAAAGGGCATCCTTTTTATGCTTGGGTTACTCTTGGGTCGAGACCTTTTGGGATTCATATAATCCTACCATAATTGAAAAGGTTAACCTTTTTTTGGCTAAGGTACTCAGCCCCTAAGACAAGGTTTTTGGAGGTTTCCGAGTGCATGGCAATGATGGGCATCCAGAAGTATGATTTCACGGGCCTGAATCTGACACAGTCTTGCGATCTCGTAGGAAAGGCCATGTGCTCCACAGCACTCGTGAAAGTGCTGGTGCCAGTTCTTGAACTCTTGGAGGTTCTGCGATCCACGTAGCTGCAGACCCTAGCTGGTCAGGCCAGCTTCATTTTGAGGGCCGTCGTGGTGCTTAAAGGGATCTATAAGGGTTCTATAAAGGGGAGTTTGGGGTCCTTATAATAAGGATCCTACTATTTAGGGTACTATATTAGCTTCTCTATGCACACCTTCTTGGGCTTACCAAGACCGTGTGTGCGTGTATGTGCCAGCGCACGAGATGCCACCGACCTGGGAGTTTCCGAAAATAGGGGGACCCTAATATGGATATGGTACCCTAAATAGTAAGATCATTATAATAAGGCCACCAAAATAAGGTACCCCTATTTTCGGAATCTCCCACCTTGTCCTTGTATAATCATGAGCCAACTTGCGATCTTCATTACTATAAGAATTTTTCCCTGACTGGGAGGAAACCCCTGCTTGAAGGATCATGGGACGTAGTAACTGGGCTTATAATTAGGTTAACTACACTTATAATTTCTTATAACCCCAATTAAGGGACTTATAACCCTACTTAATTACTAAGTCCCATGATCCTCCAAGTAAGCCCCAGCTTTTGTTTAGAGCCAAGGATCCTCGGACTGCTGCGACCTGGCTCGGCGGATTGCCCCCGGAGGCCGAGATATGGGAGTGTCCGAAATTTTGGGGGGGTAGCTTTCAAGGGATCATTTTAGGGTTCCTTAAAGGGATCTATGAGGGTTCCATAAAGGGTTTAAGGGTTGGAGTTTGGGGTCCTTATAATAAGGATCCTACTATACTATTTACGGTACTATATTAGGGTCCCCTGTTTTCCAAAAAAGGTTTCAATATGAATTCTCACAAAGCCGTGTCCCGGCTGCTGCAGGGGGCGCGTCTGCTGGCGGGATCGACCTGGCCACACTGTCGTGAGCTTTAGGGACCAACGAAACCCGGTGTCACTATATTCTATGCTGACGTTCCTAAATCAGGGCTCCTTTGAAACAGCACAGGGTCGCAGGGTCCAAAGCAACGTCGCCCCCAGTTGCTGAACATCCCACATCCTACTTGAACTGTATCGTGAAATGACATCGCTTAAGGATATTTCGTCCCTAAGGCGCCGTCGTGGTGTCTAGGGCTCATGATCTGCAGCCGGCGGTCGGGAGGTAGAGTAGCCGTCAGTAGGTGGAATGAGCGTACACATTTTTTACACGGTTGCATAATGCTTTGTTATATATATATATATCCACATATGCTTGTTGCTTGTACCAGTACACATAAATATATATGTATAATATATAAATCGACATATGACTTGAGGCCAGTCTCCTTTCGAGCAACATTTGCTTACCGTGCCTTAGACGCCTCCTAATTCCTCGGGATTCCGGCGCCAAGGGCATGAATCATGGCCATCTACGCTATCAGAGGACGCTTAGGATCGCCATGACTCCTGCAGTGCCGAGTGCAAGAGCGCGAACACCGTGCAGCGTGTGAACGCTTCTGCATCTAGGCACCTTCATGGTTTCCCCATTATCCGATATTTAGAGATCTCTAAACCGCGGTTTCGGGGTTAGGGTTTAGGGTCTCATACTAATCAAGCGTTCGACCCTCTGAAACTATAGAGGGAGGGGTCTTGCATTTGGTGACAGGTACAGTACTTACTTAACGGCGTTTGGGAGCGCCGAATAGAGCTGACATATATATATATATACATACATGTACATATATTTTTTTTGGGGGGGAGCTCCGAACAGAGCTGAAACATACACACATATATATATATAAGTCTATTTATGTATTTGCATATTTATACACGTACATACGTACATGCTTAGAAACATACATACATGCATACATACATGCTCTCCTTCTGCATCCCAAGCCCCGTTTCCTGCCGACGTAGGATCAGGAAACGCCTTGGTTTTCATAGAAGACTGCTATGCCCAGTAGTACCCTTATTCCCTTTTTGTAGTCCTAGGTTCCTTATAAAGTTACCCAATACCAAAAAGAGAGGCCTTTTTATTCTTAGGTTACTGGGTATCCTAGAAGACGACGTTCTTATCTTACCAAAGTTTAGCGCGCGCCCCAAAGGCAGAAGGGGCCCAATAAGTGTGTACATGCTTATTTCGAAAGGGCTTAAAACGGTACCTTGTTTAGGAGTTCTTCATTTGAGGATGCTTTTATTGGAGGTTTTAATTATGATGATTCCTAAAGTAGGTAAAATAATTGCGCAGCACCCAATAGATAGGATCTGTTCTACATACTTTGGGGGTCTAGGTACTTACAGAACGACACTTCCCAGCCTGAGCCAGCCAAAACTTGGCATTTCCGTGACGGTGCCAGCCCACCCCCTCGGCGAAGCTACCAGTGTACAGAGCATCCTGTGGGAAAAAGGATTTTAGGGTTTAGGGTTAGTTCAGGGTTTAGGGTTTCTCCAGCCTCCCGAAACCCTATGCCCTGAACTGAAAATTGTTTGGGATTCAGGGTTTGGGGCTTGGGGCGTTGGCTAGTATCCCCCCCCACCAACAGTCCCTGTGCACAAACTATGCGGTAAATAAGACTATTGCCCGCCCTATTCTAGCTGTTAGGGCCCGTCTTTTGTGTTGTAGAGGATGGGCAGCATGAACTAGAGGCATGTATGTTCTGCAAGCAGTGTCACGGAGCAAGATCGCGGCTTAGGATTTCGGGTTTAGCAAACAACGGCCCCAAGTCACAGTGAACAATTCTTTGGCATAGGCATGGGGCTTCATGTGCGATTGCTTCAGCTGCTTGTCAAAACTCAAGGTTACAAAATGCTGAAAGCTTGACCCGAATACAACGAGGACTATGCTAAAACATAGACCGTAAACGGACTGAAGCTACTCGCTGAACCATCAAGCCGAGACCAAACAATTGCCTGAGCCCACCGAATGCTTTGGAGTCTGTGTTACTGACATTGGGAGTGATGAATCTGTCCATCGATCGAGAACCAGCCAAGCCGCAGGACGGGTTTTCTGGGCTTTCTTTGTGTTAAGTTTTAAATAATGTAGGGGCCCAAGTAATTCCCAATACTATTTTGGGGTTCCTTGTTATAGCTATAGCATAGTGCGCCCGAAAACCCTATTCTGATTATTGATGTCCCTTTATATTAAATTAGGGGTACTTAGAAATAATTTTCATTTTTTGGTTATCATAATCCCTAAGAAACAGCTACAATTATAAGTTTTGCTAGGGTTATAAGTTCAGTACAGTTAAGCTCATCAGTGTGGGAGGCTCTTACCTGAAGGCTCATGCTTAGGTAGAAGTGGGGATTCTAGATTCTAAGCCCAGTGTTGCAGCAAGCAGGTAAAGGTTAGGACAGGTGGTGCAGGTGTGGCAGGCCAGGAGACATGCTGAGCCGCAACAACCCACTACTCCAGCTGATTTCCTCAGACTCAAACTAGGGGGAGTAATTAGTAGCGTACAAGTGGTAGCTTCGGACAATTAGGGCTTACGCTTACTTTAGGGGTCCTTGTAAAAGGGATCATACTATTTAGGGCCGGTGCTATATGAGGGTTTCCTTTTGCCGGAAACTCCCAAGTGGGCTCAATGCTGAGTTGCCGTTGGTGTCGTTGGTTCGGTTTATCTGTTCGTCGCTCTTCTCACAGCTCCCCACCTCGCTGTTGGAATCAGCTTAGTCAACCTGAAGTACCTGGAACATGATTTAAAGTTCCTTCATATTCCATGTTCGGCTTGCTTATAGTAGCCCGTATAAACACCCTTTTAAAAGCAACTGTTTAAAAGGGGTTGTTCGGCCTGAAGGACTATGCCTCGGATGGCACCGATGCCATTGGCTTCGTTCAGCTTGGGCCTTGGCCGTTTCCACGTCGTTTCGGGTTTAGGGTTTAGGGTTCGTCGTTTCTACTGCAGGAACCTGATTAAGAGACACCGGCCCTATAACCACCCAATTTCTTATAAGGATTCATTTAAGGAATGACATAGGTTGCTATGTTATAACAGCGTTTAGAGCGACAAAAGCCTTCCAACGCACAAGAACCTTATTCCAACTACTAAGACCCCCTCAGCATTTAAAGCCCCAAGTCCCAAGACACAAAAGCTCACCATAGAACCTAAACCTTGGACACCTACATTCGCTTCAGAACCGTATCATAGATCCGGGAATAGATTCCATGAACTTATAACAAGAACTCTCGAAACGATATTGTATTCCGCTTACAAGGGTTCCCCTTTATACTAAGTGCAAAACATCGCATTTAAATGAAGCCACATTTTTTATTCTTGAGCCCTTTTCTACGGGAACCCCATGCTCCCTAAAGCCTTGCTGGAACCGAAAAGGCCCCCCGTAAACCCTATGAGACGACAAAGCCCCTTTAACAAGAGCACCAAAACTACGACCCAGAGTCAGCCCTTATTCCCTTTTTTAGGGCTCAGGTTCCCGTATAATCCCCTTAAGCCAAAAAAGGGCACCCTTTTTATAAATAGGTTACTCTTAGGTCTAGAAAACAAGGAACCCTGTTCCAACCTAAGCCTGAAACCCTAAACCTGCTCAGGACCCTCTCTTTGAACGAACCCGTAACAAGGAACTCGATTCGAACCGTTAAGGCCCCTCAGAGCCTTGGAGCCCTATTCTCATTCTTTCCGGAGCCGTGTACAAAGAATTACACTAAAAGGGAACATTGTTCTAGTCATGAACCTATACACAACCAACCCAATTCGAACCATTAGGCACCGTGCTCTCAGAGCCCCTTTGTAGCAACCCTCATAGACCCTCTTTACAGGAATCCTATATTACCCTAATCAGCTTCTTCCGACCCCCTTCGTCTAGAGCCCCCATAAACCCCAACCCCGTCTTCAAAGGAGCCCCTTTAAAATGAACCACTTTCCCGAGCTCCCACAAACCCTCAGCCCTAGACCCTTTCTTCAAGGGAACCCACAAACAAGGAACCTTCCTGCTTAAAAAAGGAAGGCTATTCAACGCACCCTAAACTCATAGTACCCTCGTATAGTAGTAAGCCTTATAGACCCCCTGTAAACAAGGAACCCAATTCGAAAAAGGAGAACCCCTTAAAAGGAGCCCTCTTCATCTTACTCTCAACACTAAAGTCCCTTTTTTTTCGAGCCCCAAGTAGTAAGTGAGGCTATAAGCACCTTAATTGCTAGACTTATTTCCTAAGTCCCATGAACCTCCAAGTAAGCTCCCGTTTTTTAGAGCCCCCAGGTTCTGGGGCTATTCAACGCATCCTAAACCCGTAGTACCCTCGTCTCGTATCAACCCTTGTAGTCAACCCTAAACCCTAAACCCTAAACCCTTATAGTCAACCCTAAAGTCACTTTTCTTCGAGCCCCCAGGTTCTGGGGGAACTCTCCAGCCTTAGATCTCCTCGGGGAGGATCCGCAGGTGTCTGGGGACCTTTTTTGGATAGATTTGTATAGGTTTGTATAGGTTTGTATAGGTTTGTTGGTTTAGATTCAGTTTAGATGAGGGTTTAGGGTTTAGGGCTTAGCTGGGTTCTGTCGGGGTTTATTTAGGGTTTAGGTTTTGAAGGGGTTTGGGGGCCAGGGCTAGGGGTGCAAGGTTTTTTAGGGTTTCGGGGGCAGGGGGTTAGGGGTTTAGGCTTTCAAGTGTTCTAGGGGTTGATAGGTTTGTTGGTTTAGATTTAGTTTAGATGAGGGTTCTAGCAGGTTTGATGGGCTGTTGCTTTGGATTTAGTGTTGTTGTTTTAAAGCAGGATGTTGGGTTTGATAAGAGCGTTCTGACGGTTCAATTTTGATTTTGAATTTTGGGTCTTGGTATTGTTTAGGCACGATTGCAAGATGGATTGTTCGGATGAGTGTAAGGTTTTGTCGGGGAGACTAAGGCTCAGGGTGAGGAGAGCAAATATATTCGAGACCAACCTCAATCAGAAAGCGTCTTGGCCAATTCCTTCGCTAGGGGAGCTGCTGACCCAGTTGGT